AAAAAAAAAAACTCTTCCTAATTACAGTGTTAGCCTAAATGTATTTACCAGCTTAATCTTTCCATCAACGTGTATAAGATTGTCTTTGAGTAAGCAACAAACCAGCATTAGCAACCAATTCACGCAACTCAGAATAATTACAAGCAAAAGACTTATTTGCCCCTTGTAGAGTTGTCAGAAGTCTTGCTTGTTCAAATGGCTCAATGTGTCCATCATACATGGCAAGGTGACACAGAAGGACTAAAGCATGATACTGTGTCTTCTCACTCTCACTCCCCCTTAACAATCTCATAAGTGGTTGGACTCCTTCAAACTCAAATATAGTCTTTGAGTGTTCTGAATGTAGAAAGTTCTCTGGACATGTAAATTTCCCAAGCGCAATCACTGATTCCATTCCCACATCCGGATTCCTATTACTGAGTTGTTTGACCAAAGGACCAATCACCTGAGTTTGTCTAGCAGGGAAAGTCCTAGCCAGATGACCGATTGTCCTAATGGCTGGAATCTTGATTACAGGGTTATCCGATTGATTAATCAGTCTAAGAAGTTGATCCACTATTGGAGAATTATTAGTACTCTTGAAGGCTGATCTTCTAAGATCAGGATTGTACTCAGCTGAAGCTGTGATTTCCATTATAGCCATCAAACAATTGATCTGAAGTTCCCCTTTTTCTCTCTCAATAAGCTTAGTCAAACAAAGAAGCCCTTTAGCTTCTGTTATTTTCCTACAGTTCGTGACACTACCTTTTGCAAGCATCCATAGAGCTCCAGAACAGTTAGTCTTGAATTCAAGTATCAACTGTGGTGTCACGTTTTTGCTTCTTTTCTTCATTTGATTGTTAAAATCAAATGACAATAATGTAACAAGTGTTCCAATAAGATTTTCTCTTGCAAAACCCTCTTGTGAAAACGTATCATGTTCTGCCATTGTTGCTATCAGTTTCGCAATCTCAATTTGAACCCCTATTCGGGAATTTCGGAAAGCGTGTACTATAATCGGGACGCCATGTTCGTTGAAAATTAACCTAGCCCTGTTTTGATTATCAGCTAAGCTAAAAAGTGCCATGGCGCCTGCAATTTGGGCATCAGGAGATGATTCCTCTTTTAAAAGCTTTAGCAATGGCGAAATGCCACCTTCTTCTACTATGATATCCTTGTTTCGATTACTATCGTGGGCTAATGAAGCTAATTCATGTGCAACTTCAATTTTCAGATTTAATGAACATAGATGAAGTGAAGCTATATTAGACCAAACCCAAGCCAAAATCGGATCGTTATTAGCAATTGGAGGTAAAGATAGAACAATACCTTCCCCACCGCGATCAAATATACTGAGCAACCACTTCATGTCGCCGATCGACATGTCGAGAAGGTTGAATAGCTTCCGAAAATCCGTAATACCAACAAAGGTAACGAAGCGGCGGAAGATACTACGGTGGCGGCACCTCCGGACTAAGGTTAGCGTACGGTTTAGGTTTATGGCAATGTCGGAAAAGATGCGGCGTACTGGAGATTCATAGAAGGAAGGAGTGGAGTTGGCAAATCGAACTGTGGACCGGAGCATCTCAGACAGCTGATGAACCTTTTTACCGACGTCGCTGCAATCGAGTTTGTGTGATTTTGACTCATTAACGGCACGAAGGATTCGATCAGATAATACGATCGGAGACGATAAGATTTCTTCGATGGGAGGTTGTGGTCGTTGTAGGTATTCTAGTGCATTCGGTTGGAAGATGAATCGATCCATTGAGGTTTTGCAGATATTGGATCAGGGAATAAAGAAAAAGGAAAAGTACATTCTGATAGTTTGGGAAGTTATTGACCAAGAATCTGGAGATTTTGGAGGTCTTGGCGGTTTGGTGGGGATGTTAGTTTTAGCGTGTATATCAGAAAGTCGCGTGAGGAAGGAAAAATAAACAACGTGCTTCACTTAACTTCTCTTTTGCCTTTGCCCATTTGACGCAAAATATAAATACTTCAATATATCTATAAGAGTAAATTACATCTTTGGTCCTGCATGTTTGACATTTATAACACGTTTGACCTTCAGTTCAAAAGTTTCACTGGTTGCACTCTTGGCATCTAATTCATAGTTTGGTTGCATTCTTGGTCCTTCATCCTAATTTGTAGTTAAGATGGAATAGTCAAGACCCCTCATGTATCATACACATAGGATTATTTTGGTCTTTCCATCCTTTTCTCCTTTGTTTACATTTCATGAACTCAACTTGTGCTTTAACCTTTGAAACTGAAAGCACACCCTCTCTCTCCTTTTACAATCGAAAGCATATTCTGGATCGAAAATTGGTTCTGTACGTTCTTCACCCTTTGAAGATGAATAATTGTGTAAACACATAACAACATCAAATCCAAAAGCATACCATGGACCGATCTTTAAACCTCTATTTCACCATTTTGGAACTATCATTCGATTGATAATCATATGTCTCTTTATTGCTCGACATGATTCACTCTTCTTTTAGGGTCTTGTTATGGTATGATTACACCCCTGCATATAATTTTTCATCTTCTGACTGAAAAGTTACTGGAGAGATCAACTAAGAGATAAAAGAGATGGGTGGTTAGTTTGCAAAGATTGAAGAGTGTAGCATATATCCCTCTCATTCGGACTTGAACCTTATGGGTCTCCAATGCCCGTACCTGAGCCTGATCCTCAATTACAAATAGTCACCATACTGAATCTGAAATATAACAAGAACATATCATAATCAATACATAATGTTAAACAACACTATGCGTACCCACCTACAAGTAACTTGATATTCTTGTCACTTTCTTGACCCAAGTATGTATTGTGCTTTCAGTAGTACAAGCTTATTCTACCTTTCACACATATCTATACTTGTTCCAAGGATTGTTCCAAGACTCCTAAGTCACTTTTCACCACTCCACTAAACTACTACCATACACACATATGTCTAGCCATATGCATAACACTATACTTCCTATACAAAAACTACTACCATATACGCATATGTCTAGTCATATGCATAACACTATACTTCCTAGACTCTCTCTAGGATTCTTCCTTCCCCACTTTTACGCAAGTCGAACAAAGTCTCCATTAATATCGCTAAAATGCAGCACGAATGCGCAGCCGTACATAATCAAGATTAAAATAAACATTCGAATAAGTGTCTCTACCCTAAAACCACAACCAAAAGTTCTCATGCTATCTAATTTAAACTACATACGACCCCTAGGGTATCCACTCAACGATCAACC